CCTGACCTGTGTATATTCTGTACCGAACGCTCACGTCCAGATTGATAAATGCCCAAAAGTGTAAACTTTTTGCATACGCCTCATTTATCCTGATTTGGCCCTACGTGAGTTTCATAAATGAGGCCCAAAGACACAGAGACACCTGCTCACAGCTGTGGAGGTGAAAGCCCCTGGTGTCCCTCCCCCCCCCTCCGCAGTGCATCCGTTCTGGGCTCCATGTGTCTGGGTCTGGTGCATAGAGGGGCTGCACCTGCAAAGAAAGGCCCGGCTGTGTGGCTGTGTTTCCGGGTGTGGACAGGGAGGAAGAGCCTCTCTCTGGACAAAAGGCTGGAGCTTCAGTGACACATTTAAACTGACACCAGATCAGGAAGAGAGAGGCTTCTGTCCAGGACCACAGACCCGGCTTTGACTGGGCCTGTCCAGGACCACAGACCCGGCTTTGACTGGGACTGAGAGAAGGTGTCTTTTACTGAGGTTTTACTCCTGTTTATGTCATACTTAACACAGTTTGGTTCTCTCAGAAGTATCGTCAACAGATAAATAATAATGTGATTTATTGTATTATATTATGATTATATTATAATACAAAGACACAATAATCCAAAACTAAACACGTCTATGTTTGTTTCGCGTCACATCTTTCAACTTCATTCTGACTTTCCAAGTTTCACCTGAAAGACCCATTATCTACATTTAGTAAGTATACATACATATATATATATATATATATATATATATATATATATATATATATATATATATATATATATAATGTATATAATGTATACATATACACACATATATATACATATACACACATATATATACATACATATATACATATACATACATATGTATACATATATACAAAGTTAATACACAATTAACTTTGTGTATTAAGATCCATTATCCATCCATCCATCCATTTTCTTCCGCTTTATCCGTTGCCGGGTCGTGGGGGCAGCAGTCTAAGCAGAGACGCCCAGACTTCCCTATCCACACACACTTCCTCCAGCTCGTCCGGGGGGACCCCAAGGCGTTCCCAGGCCAGCTGAGAGACATAGTCCCTCCAGCGTGTCCTGGGTCTTCCCCGGGGCCCTCCTCCCGGTGGGACGTGCCCGGAACACCTCCCTAGGGAGGCGGAGGCATCCGGAACAGATGCCCGAGCCACCTCAACTGGTTCCTCTTGACGTGGAGGAGCAACGGCTGTACTCCGAGCTCCTCCCGTGTGACCGAGCTCCTCATCCTATCTCTAAGGGAGCAGCGGCTCTACTCCGAGCTCCTCCCATGTGACTGAGCTCCTCACCCTATCTCTAAGGGAGCAGCCACTCTGCGGAGGAAGCTCATTTCGACCGCTTGTATCCGCGATCTCGTTCTTTCGGTCATTATCCAAAGTTCACGACCATAGGTGAGGGAGGGAACGAAGACTGACCCCTGGCTGTGCCTAGAAATTCTGTCCATAAACACAGTGACCAAGATCCATTATCTACATTAATTAATTAATTAATATTAATATTAATATATATATATATATATATATATATATATATATATATATATATATATATATATATATAGATATATAGATAGCTCTGGATATGGATAGCTCAGTTGGTAGGGCGCAGGACTGGGACCTGGGAGGCCAGGGTTCGAATCACAGTTGACCCCGAAACAACTGGTAGCTCAATGCTCCAATATCCACAAACGGCAGCTGCTATCACAGCTTGAGATCGATGATATGCTGGGCTATGTACCCAGATATTGGGTACATAGCCCCAATGGAACCGATAACGCTGAACGAGGCAGCGACTGACCTGAAAGCTAAGATCATGGCTAGAATGGGCACAGGGCAAAGACACCGGCTACAGCGGTTGTGTGAAGTACCACCTAAGGATCTCATAGAAAACGTGAATTCAGCAGTGAGGGCAATACCTACCACCACAATCACTGAAACCAATGAGCTGATATACACTTCAGCAGCAGTGATCCTAGAGATGCTTGGCTATAAGAGCTACCATGGGAGCCATGGACAATACCCACCATGGAAAAGACGGTTGGAGGCTAAGATCAAGGCGGCTCGGAGAGAAGTGAGTCAATTAACAGAGGCCCAGAGAGGTGCAATGAAAAGACCAGTACCCAGAAAGTACAGCCAGATGACCATACCTGAAGCACTCGAAACTGCCAAACAAAGGCTCCAAGCCCTGGCCAGCCGCCTACAGAGGTACACTAAAGAGAATGAAGCCAGAAGGGTGAACAGGCTGTTCGCAACACAACCTGCGAAGGTGTACGCTCAGTGGCAGGGTAACAACAGGGTAACAACAGGGTAACAACAGGGGAGCAGACCCACCGAGGCTGGAAACTGAACAGTTCTAGAAGAACATATGGGAGGAGGATGCAGCACATAACAGAAGTGCACAATGGCTGGTGTCCCTGAGAGAGGAGCACAGCCACCTCCCAGAACAGAACTCAGTTACCATCACAGAGGCAGACATCCGAGAGTCTCAGGTATGAAAAACTGGACAGCACCTGGCCCTGATATGGTCCATGCCTACTGGCTAAGGACACTCACATCACTCCATGAGCGCCTAGCAGCACAAATGAACCAGCTGCTGAGAGATGGGACTCACCCAGAATGGCTAACCGAAGGGCGAACGGTCCTGATCATGAAGGACCCTGTCAAGGGTGCAGTCCCCTCCAACTACCGGCCAATAACCTGTCTCTCCACAACATGGAAGCTCATGTCTGGCATCATTGCGGCTAAGATAAGTGGGCATATGGAACAATTCATGAGCACAGCACAGAAGGGCACAGAGGAGCCAAACACCAGCTCCTGGTTGACAGAACAGTCGCCCAAGACTGTCACGACACACCAACCTGTGCACAGCCTGGATTGATTACCAGAAAGCCTACGACTCAATGCCACACACATGGATCATGGAATGCTTGAAGTTGTACAATATCAACAGGGCTCTAAGGGACTTCGTTGCAAACTCGATGGGAATGTGGAAGACCACCCTTGAGGCAAATGGCCGCTCGCACAAGTGACCATCAAATGTGGTATCTACCAAGGAGAGGCTCTGTCCCCACTACTGTTTTGCATAGGCCTCAACCCTCTAAGCCAAGTAATTGACCAGACTGGCTATGGATACCGCCTCAGGAACGGAGCAAAGATCAGTCACCTCCTCTACATGGATGACATCAAGCTGTACGCCAAGAGCGAGAGAGACATCGACTCTCTGATCCAAACAACCAGGATCTACAGCCATGACATCGGGATGTCATTCGGACTCGAAAAATGTAGCAGGATGATGACTCGGAGAGGCAAGGTAGTCCACACAGAAGGGATCTCACTCCCAGAGGGAACAATAGCAGACGTTGAGGACAGTTACAAGTATCTCGGTATACCACAGGCAAATGGCAACCTCGAACAGGTGACGAGGAAAGCGGCAACTGCCAAATACCTCCAGCGAGTAAGGCAGGTCCTAAGAAGCCGGCTCAATGGCAAGAACAAGACCCAGGCAATTAACAGCTACGCCCTGCCAGTGATCAGATACCCTGCAGGAATAATCAGGTGGCCAAAGGAAGAGATTCAGACCACGGATGTTAAAACTCAAAGCTCCTTACCATGCATGGCGGGTTCCATCCCAAATCCAGCACCCTGAGACTGTACGTAAGCCGTAAAGAAGGAGGCCGAGGACTAGTGAGTGTGAGAGCCACTGTCCAGGACCAAACATCCAAACTCCATAACTACATCATGGAGAAGGCCAAAACGGATGACGTACTCAGTGAATGTCTCAGGCAGTGGCGAGATGAGGAGGTGCTGGAGGAGAGCCCATCATGGGAGAATAAGCCCCTACACGGCATGTACCACCGGAGCATAACAGAAGTGGCTGATCTCAAGAAGTCCTACCAATGGCTAGAAAGGGCTGGCCTACAGGACAGCAGAGAGGCACTCATCATGGCTGCACAGGAACATATCTATGTTTTATATATATATATATCCATCCATCCATCCATTTTCCACCCTTTAATCCATTTCTGGGTCAGGGGGGTGGCAATCAGAGATGCCACCCAAGTCTCATAGCACCAGCCCCTCACTGACCCTCTGCAGGTGGTGAGTCCACAGGAGGCTGCTCTCTGACTGTGAGCATAGCCTTGATCTTTCAGTGGGGGCTTTTGGGCAAAGTGGGGTTAAGTGTCTTGCCCAAGGACACAACGACAGCAGTCATCAGTGGAAGTCGGTGGAGAAGGTGCAGAGGTGGGAATTGAACCCACGACCTTCTGGCCTTAAGGCCAATGCTCTACCAACTGAGCTACTGTCGCCCCGATATATATATATATATATATATATATATATATATATATATATATATATATATATATATATATATATATATATATATATATATATATATACATATATATATTATATATACACATATATATATATATGTGTGTGTGTATATATATATATATATATAATATATATATATATATATATATGTATATGTGTATATATAATATATATATACATTATCTACATTAACCTTTGTGTTGTGTTCGGGGTCAAATTAGACCGATTGCACATTGAAACACTCATAAACAAATTTTTTTTTTTACATCTCATTGCCCCAAGACTTTATGATATCCTCCACACTGTGCACCTGAACAGATCCTCCACACTGTGCACCTGAACAGATCCTCCACACTGTGCACCTGAACAGATCCTCCACACTGTGCACCTGAACAGATCCTCCACACTGTGCACCTGAACACTGTGCACCTGAACAGATCCTCCACACTGTGCACCTGAACAGATCCTCCACACTGTGCACCTGAACAGATCCTCCACACTGTGCACCTGAACAGATCCTCCACACTGTGCACCTGAACACTTGTGCACCTGAACACTGTGCACCTGAACAGATCCTCCACACTGTGCACCTGAACAGATCCTCCACACTGTGCACCTGAACACTGTGCACCTGAACACTGTGCACATGAACACTGTGCACCTGAACACTGTGCACCTGAACACTGTGCACCTGAACACTGTGCACCTGAACACTGTGCACCTGAACACTGTGCACCTGAACACTGTGCACCTGAACACTGTGCACCTGAACAGATCCTCCACACTGTGCACCTGAACACTGTGCACATGAACACTGTGCACCTGAACACTGTGCACCTGAACACTGTGCACCTGAACAGATCCTCCACACTGTGCACCTGAACATACAAAAGTGATGAGCATCACTTTACTTGAATTTTGAGTGTTTTAGTGAACCTTGTTACATCTGTAGTGTTCTGGTCAAAAGTGGCCCCCATATTAAATGTTTGTGTAATCAGATTATATTTATCCAGACAACACATAGTTTGAGACATGCTTACAGCATAAAAGGTCCTTTTGCTCAAACTCTGCTCTCAAAACTAAACAATCATTTATCAAAATTAGACTCTGAGGACAAAATGATACACACTTGCATCATGTGAACACACGTTCAGATTGGAAGCAACACACTACAGTACTTTATATAAAACACTGCGGTCATTTTCACGTTTTTATATTCTGTTTATCAGTTAGTTTTCTATGAAGCATCAACTGAACTGTTTTTGTTCTCAACAAAGGTTTACCAACGAAGTACACAATACTACATCACAGTACAACAGTATACTTTACATCACAGTACTAATGTATACTTGACTGCATTTGTGTCAATGCAGTAAAAACCACAAATCTCTCATGTAAAACCAGGCAGTTGTGGATTACGGATCATGTTCCTGCTCCGACTGTTTCCACAATGTTCCTGCTGTTGGTGAACACCTGTGGAGCACCTTGAGAAGGTCTTCTAGTCATTCTGTATAAATATGCAATCACAAATTGTAACTGTAGATTTAGATATTTTTTACAGTATTGCATACTGTACACAGTACTGACATCACAATGGTACAGTACTATGTACTTTACTGTATTGTATGTTTCACCAAACTACAGGAGAAAGTGTGTTGCAGGAATAAGGTGCAAAGCAGTACTTTTGTTTGTTCAAGGTCTCTTGGTCTAAGCATGTGTCTATAGTGTTCAAGCATTCGGAAACAACTAATGTAAGAGCTGTTAAAACAGGCCGGTCAAATTTAACCGGGAAAACCAAATTAAGGGGCAAGAAATGAACACAACACAAAGGTTAATATATATACATTTATATACATACATTAACTTTGTATGAAACAGGTCATTCTCTGGTCTAAAACAGGTCTGGTCTTAAACAGGTCTAAGTCTTTTCTCTAATGGGAAGTGAACAGTTGCTCGTGACTGCTCCGTCTCTTTCTAGATAAACAGGTGCAACACTGACAAAAGGCCCCTGGTCCCTGAGTCCAGAGGCCCTCAGCCCAGGGGCCCCGAGCCCAGGGGCCGAGCTCATGAGAAGCCCACGAGCTGTTAATAAGGTGGAACTGATGGCTCTTTGTGTCTCCCAGCATGCTTTTAGGCAGAGGAGGAAGAGGAGGAGGGGGAGGAAGAGGAGGAGGAGGAGGAGGAGGAAGAGGATGAGGGGGAGGAGGGGGAGGAGGAGGAGGAGGACATTGAAACTAAATTGTATGAAGTCATAGGATAGATTATTAATAAGATATTAAAGTTATTCCTTGACTATGATGACATTATTAATATGTAAAGGACAGTGGCTCAGTTGGTAGAGCATTGGCCTTTGAGCCTGAAGGTCGTGGGTTCGAGTCCACCATGAGACCTTCTTCACCGACTCCCTGCTGTCGTTGTGTCCTTGGGCAAGACACTTAACCCCACTTTGCCCATAAGGAGCGTGTAAGTGATGTTTGCTGCTTGCCTTGATGTATATGTGTATATCATGTGTATGTGGGCGGCACGGTGGCTGAGTGGATAGCACTCTTGCTTCTCAGCAAGAAGGTCCTGGGTTTGATTCCCGGTCGGACCAAGGCCTTTCTGAGTGGAGTTTGCTGTTCTCCCTGTGTCTGTGGAGGTTTCCTCCGGGATCTCTGGTTTCCCCTACCACTAAAAACTTGCAAAACTTGCACAATAGATCTGGCATGCGCCTCCTGTACTGGCCCCTCCCATCTCTGTGTGGACTGAAAGGACAAGTGCCCAAAAAAAAAAAACAATTGTAAACCGCTTTGAGACTCTGGTCTGTGAAAGGCAGTATATAAATAAAGATTACTTACTACTTACTGTGTATATTCATATGTAGGTATGTGTATATCATGTACGGTATATGTGTATATGGATGTGTGTATATGTGTATATGTGTGTATGTATATCATGTACTGTATATATGTATATGGATATGTATGTGTATATCATGTATGTTTGTCTTTGTTTTGTCTTCTTGTGTTTCCTCTGTCTTGTCCTCTTGTATTCTATCTTATTGTTTTAACTTTATTATTCTGACTGTGCAGCACTTTGTAAACATTGTTTTTGAAAAGTGCTTTACAAATAAAGATTTATTATTATTATTATTTATATGTATATGTGTATATATATATATATATATATGTGTATGTGTATATGTATATGTGTATATATGTATATGTGTATGTATATATGTGTATATGTGTGTATGTGTGTATACGTGTGTATGTGTATATGTGTGTATGTGTGTATGAGTATATGTGTGTATGTGTGTATGTGTGTATGTGTATATGTGTGTATGTGTGTATGTGTGTACGTGTATATGTATATGTGTATATGTGTGTATGTGTGTATGTGTATATGTGTGTATGTATATGTGTGTATATGTATATGTGTATATGTGTATATGTGTGTATGTGTGTATGTGTATATGTGTGTATGTATATGTGTGTATGTGTATATGTGTGTATGTATATGTGTGTATATGTGTATATGTGTGTATGTGTATATGTGTGTATGTGTGTATGTGTATACGTGTGTAGGTGTATATGTGTGTATGTGTAAATGTGTGTATGAGTATATGTGTATACGTGTGTATGTGTATATGTGTGTATATGTATATATGTATATGTGTATATGTATATATGTATATGTGTGTATGTGTATATGTGTATGTGTATATGTGTATATGTGTGTATATGTGTATATGTGTATGTGTGTACGTGTATATGTATATGTGTATATGTGTGTATGTGTGTATGTGTATATGTGTGTATGTGTATATGTGTGTATGTGTATGTGTGTGTATATGTGTGAATATGTGTGTATATGTGTGTGTGTGTATATGTGTGTATGTGTATATGTGTATGTATATATGTGTGTATGTGTGTATGTGTGTATATGTATATGTGTGTGTGTGTATATGTGTGTATGTGTGTATGTGTATATGTGTTGTATATGTATATGTGTGTGTGTGTATATGTGTATATGTGTGTATGTGTATATGTGTGTATGTGTATATGTGTATATGTGTGTATGTGTATATGTGTGTATGTGTATATGTGTGTATGTGTGTATGTGTGTATGTGTGTATGTGTATATGTGTATATGTGTGTATGTGTGTATGTGTATATGTGTGTATGTGTGTATATGTATATGTGTGTGTGTGTATATGTGTGTATGTGTGTATGTGTATATGTGTGTATATGTATATGTGTGTGTGTGTATATGTGTGTATGTGTATATGTGTGTATGTGTATATGTGTATATGTGTGTATGTGTATATGTGTATATGTGTGTATGTGTGTATGTGTATATGTGTGTATGTGTGTATGTGTATATGTGTGTATATGTATATGTGTGTGTGTGTATATGTGTATATGTGTGTATGTGTATATGTGTGTATGTGTATATGTGTATATGTGTGTATGTGTATATGTGTATATGTGTGTATGTGTGTATGTGTATATGTGTGTATGTGTATATGTGTGTATGTGTGCATGTGTGTATGTGTATGTGTGTGTGTGTATGTGTGTAAGTGTGTATGTGTCTGTGTCTGTGTCTATGTGTCTGTGTCTCAGTGTCTGTGTCTGTGTCTATGTGTCTGTGTCTGTGTCTATGTGTCTGTGTCTCAGTGTCTGTGTCTGTGTCTATGTGTCTGTGTCTCTGTGTCTGTGTCTGTGTCTCTGTGTCTGTGTCTGTGTCTCAGTGTCTGTGTCTGTGTCTCTGTGTCTGTGTCTGTGTCTCTGTGTCTGTGTCTGTGTCTCTGTGTCTGTGTCTGTGTCTCTGTCTCTGTGTCTGTGTCTGTGTCTGTGTCTCTGTGTCTATGTGTCTGTGTCTCAGTGTCTGTGTCTGTGTCTCAGTGTCTGTGTCTGTGTCTCTGTGTCTGTGTCTGTGTCTCTGTGTCTGTGTCTCTGTGTCTGTGTCTGTGTCACTCTGTCTGTGTCTCTGTGTCTGTGTCTGTGTCTGTGTCTCTGTGTCTGTGTCTCTGTGTCTGTGTGTCTGTCTGTGTCTCTGTGTCTGTCGCTGTGTTTGTGTCTGTATAAAATAAATATACAAATAGCTATACACATAAACTGTACCTGTGCTATGCACATAAACTGTACCTGTGCTATGCACATAAACTGTACCTGTGCTTTTTTGACAGGGCTCTGTCATGGTCTCTTTATCCTCTGAGCTGTCATCAGTGTCAGGAGAGTATTTAGCATCATGTTAGCATCATGTTAGCGTCATGTTAGCGTCATGTTAGCATCATGTTAGCATCATATTAGCATCATGCTAGCGCCTTGTTAGCGTCTCTACCATCTGCTTTCTAACGAGCCGTGACCGATCGGGACAAACACAGCCGTAGCTGCAGCCGCCCTGAGCCCCCGCCACAAAGAGCTCAATTTGTTCCACCTTGTTAACAGCTTTTAGACTTCTCAAGCTCCAGTGAAGTCAGCGAGGAAACAGAGGAGACCGCAAGGAGACCGAGGAGACCGCAAGGAGACCGAGGAGACCGCAAGGAGACAGCAAGGAGACAGTAAGGAGACAGAGGAGACGGCAAGGAGACAGAGGAGACGGCAAGGAGACAGAGGAGACAGATGAGACTGAGAGGAGGCCAAGGAGACAGAGGAGAGAGAGGAAACAGAGGAGACCGCAAGGAGACAAAGAAAACCCCAAGGACACCGAGGAGACAGAGGAGATCACAAGGACACTGAGGAGACAGAGGAGATCACAAGGACACTGAGGTGACAGAGGAGATCACAAGGACACTGAGGTGACAGAAGAGACAGAGGAGACCGCAAGGAGACCGCAAGGAGACAGAAGAGGCAGAGGAGACTGCAAGGAGACGGAGGCGACCAAGTACACCGCTCCTCCTCCCCTCCTCCTCCTCCTCCTCCTCCTCCCCTCTTCCTCTCTTCCTCCTCCTCCCCTCTTCCTCCTCCTCCCCTCCTCCTCCTCCTCCTCTCCTCCTCCTCTTCTCCTCCTCCGTCTCCCCTCCTCCTCTTCTCCTCCTCTCCTCCTCCTCTCCTCTCCTCTTCCTCTCCTCTTCCTCCTCCTCCTCTCCTCTCCTCTTCTCCTCCTCTCCTCTCCTCCTCCTCTCCTCCTCCTCCGTCTCCCCTCCTCCTCCTCTCCTCTTCCTCCTCCTCCTCTCCTCTCCTCTTCTCCTCCTCTCCTCCTCTCCTCCTCTCCTCTCCTCTTCCTCCTCCTCCTCTCCTCCTCCTCCCCTTCTCCTCCCCTCCTCCTCTCCTCATTGTTCTCCTTTACGTTTGAGGATTGTTTAATCCTTTGGACCAACACCAAATGCTGCAGTCGTTTTAATCTGCAGAGAAATGAATATGTAAGACCTGCAGGAGGAGGTGTCTCTGCAGGAGGAGGTGTCTCTGCAGGAGGAGGTGTGTCTGCAGGAGGAGGTGACACAGCAGAAGGAGGTGTCTCTGCAGGAGAAGGTGTCTCTGCAGGAGGAGGTGTCTCTGCAGGAGGAGGTGTCTCTGCAGGATTAGGTGTGTCTGCAGGAGGAGGTGGCTCTGCAGGAATAGGTGTGTCTGCAGGAGGAGGTGGCTCTGCAGGAATAGGTGTGTCTGCAGGAGGAGGTGACACTGCAGGAGGAGGTGTCTCTGCAGGAGGAGGTGTCTCTGCAGGATTAGGTGTGTCTGCAGGAGGAGGTGGCTCTGCAGGAATAGGTGTGTCTGCAGGAGGAGGTGGCTCTGCAGGAATAGGTGTGTCTGCAGGAGGAGGTGGCTCTGCAGGATTAGGTGTGTCTGCAGGAGGAGGTGGCTCTGCAGGATTAGGTGTGTCTGCAGGAGGAGGTGGCTCTGCAGGATTAGGTGTGTCTGCAGGAGGAGGTGGCTCTGCAGGATTAGGTGTGTCTGCAGGAGGAGGTGTCTCTGCAGGATTAGGTGTGTCTGCAGGAGGAGGTGGCTCTGCAGGATTAGGTGTGTCTGCAGGAGGAGGTGGCTCTGCAGGATTAGGTGTGTCTGCAGGAGGAGGTGGCTCTGCAGGATTAGGTGTGTCTGCAGGAGGAGGTGGCTCTGCAGGAATAGGTGTGTCTGCAGGAGGAGGTGACACTGCAGGAGGAGGTGTCTCTGCAGGAGGAGGTGTCTCTGCAGGAGGAGGTGGCTCTGCAGGAATAGGTGTGTCTGCAGGAGGAGGTGACACTGCAGGAGGAGGTGTCTCTGCAGGAGGAGGTGTCTCTGCAGGAGGAGTGGACACTCATAGATTTTGAGCGTCCAAAAAGCGCTGTATGAAACCAATGCATGATTGTGAATAACATTATATGTGTTACCATTATTATTATTATTATTATTATCCATCCATCCATTGGTGGGATATAGGTGGGAATTGAACCCACGACCTTCAGGCCTGAAGGCCAATGCTCTACAAACTGAGCTACTGTATTATCATTTTTATTATTATTATTATTATTATTGGTGTTGTTGTTGTTTTTATCATTTGTATGGTGAATGGACTGAATGTTGTCGCTGCGGCTCCTGCTGCAGTTAATCTGATAAAGACTAAAGTAAACAAATGTGAGAATGAATATTCATTTAATCACAGCAGAGGAGCATTTATCCAATCACAGCAGAGGAACATTCATCCAATCACAGCAGAGGAACATTCATCCAATCACAGCAGAGGAACATTCATCCAATCACAGCAGAGGAACATTCATCCAATCACAGCAGAGGAACATTCATCCAATCACAGCAGAGGAACATTCATCCAATCACAGTAGAGGAACCTTTATCCAATCACAGCAGAGGAACCTTTATCCAATCACAGCAGAGGAACCTTTATCCAATCACAGCAGAGGAACATTCATCCAAACACAGCAGAGGAACATTCATCCAATCACAGCAGAGGAACATTCATCCAATCACAGCAGAGGAACATTCATCCAATCACAGCAGAGGAACATTCATCCAATCATAGCAGAGTCCTCGTTCAGAACACTGTACTAACAGATCATCATCTTCATCATCATCATCAAAATCACTATCATCATTATCATCAAAATCACTATCATCTTCATCATCAAAGTCACAATCATCATCATCATCATCAAAATCACTATCATCTTCATCATCAAAATCACTATCATCATTATCATCAAAATCACTATCATCTTCATCATCAAAGT